GCTGTCCTGTGTGTGTCCCTTTTCAGTATCTGATTACCCCACTAAAATCTAAGCTCCATTAAAACAAGGTGCTTCTCTGATTCACCGCTCTATCCCCAGCACTTAGCACTGCTCCTGGCACATGGAAGGCACTCTGTAAATACGTGTTGCGAAGAAAAAAGAAGAGGGGTAGAAAAGAAGGGAAATTGCAGATTTTCTGGCTTGACATGTTTAAGATGGTGATTGGGACTCAAGGGAGGGCTGGGCCTAAGTTGGGGTGAATCAAGAAAAAGTTGGGGCTTCCTCCTAACTCCTGTTGCAGGATCTTTCTTCCCATTCTTTTCCCAGGAGCTTGAGAACAGGCCCAGCTGTGATACCTGGATAGTCTCGGGGGAGTCAGAACTATTCATCTCTGTCACTCTTAGACACCTGCCCTCACCCTTACCCCACCATGGCAAAGCAGCTGCCCAGCTAACCAGGAGCATGACAGAGAGAAGAGTCACTTGCCATGTTGACTCTTGCATGTGCTATGTCCCTCACACTGGAGGACAGTGTCTACTTGCAAGGGTGTCCCATTATCACAACTGATGATACAAAATAGGGCTAACAAACTCAGCTGCCTGAAAGCAATTGAGAGACGTGGGCCAGATGGGGACTGGAGCAAACTAAAGTGTGTCCAGATAGAAGGGCAGCAGCTATGAACTCTAGGTATTTGTTCTCATGAAGAAGTCTTGTATTTCTTAGCCTTCTAATTTTTTAAACAAACTCGGAGGCCTGGATTTTTAAATGAAATCACCTAATTAGCAAGTATTAGCAAGCAATTCAATCAAAAAGGGGGGAGGGAGGGAAAGGCCACTATGGAGGCCAAACCAAAAATAAAAAAAAAGAGATTGTGATCAGAGGCAACCACTGATTCACAACCGCTGGTGTGCTGCAATCCCTCAGTTTGTCTTCAAGAATCTGCAATTTCCAAACAGTGTAAATGAGAACAAGGCAGAACTCTGGTGCGTCGACTCATACGGATAAGCTGAACGAAAACAACAAAGTCAAGAAACAGTTCCAGACATCCAGAGTTAGGCCTAAGCAAACCAGAACACCTTCTTCCTCTCCCTCAACCTAGCCGCTAGCAGGGATAATGGATCCTTGACCCCAGTTGTATTTCTGCCCAAATCTTCCCCAATATTTGTGGGAAGTGTAAAGATTCAGGGGGACGTAAAGTTGGGCAGCCTGATTGCCCCTTTCCTTCAGTCAAATCAGGGACTAGTCTTTCAGCATCTTTCCCCCAAACTCTCAGCATTACCTCCACAAGCCCACAAAAGGACTGCTCTCCCTCCCAAAGGGATCATAGTTAAAAATATCAGACAGTATTCTAGCCTGGGCTTTGCAAAACTCTCTAAGCCTCAGCTTCCCCATCTCTAAGATTAGGGTTAGGTCATAACCCAATTTTGTGCAAATTTTGTATAAAATTTGTGCACATGAGAGAAAGGTGCTGTTCCTCCAGTGTGGCCCCAAGCCAAGGTACACATATTGGTGCACACAGAAGGGCTAGACTTCACACCCTTTTTGCCCCTCAGTGCCCTTGTTCAGTGAACATCCTGTACTACCACACATGGCCACCCTGGATAGCCTCTCACTTGCAGACTTATAGTGAGAATTAAATATGACACTGTTTGAAAATGCTTAACACAATTATTTGGTAAATAACAATAAATCAACGTTATGTTTTTAATCTTTTTTTTTTTAAGATGAAGTCTCGCTGTTGCCCCCCAGGCTGGAGTGCAATGACGTGATCTCAGCTCACTGCAACCTCCACATCCCCAGCTCAAGCAATTCTCCTCCTGAGAAGCTGGGATTAGAGGCACCTGCCACCATGTCCAGTTAATTTTTGTATTTTTAGTAGAGATGGGGTTTCACCATGTTGGCCAGGCTGGTCTCGAACTCCTGACCTCAGGTGATCTACCTGCCTCAGCCTCCCAAAGTGCTGGGATTACGGGTGTGAGCCACCGTGTGCCCGGCCTAATCTTAATGGTTTTATATGCTCCTCAACCATCCTAAAACAGTCCAGCTCTTGAGGTTCTCAACATTATTTTAGGTAGGGTGCAGTCTGGGGTCAGAGAATTAAATTAACATTGAATTAAATGAACATTGAATAGTGAGAAACACTCTCTTTTCAATTGTCTCATTTCTTCTGAGAAAGATTCAGTATTTAACACTTCCAACACTCTCTAATGACACACACACACACACACCTGAGGCTCTAGGAGTCTTTCCAAGCCAGTAAAAAGGCTAAAATGTATTAACACTGCTTGGTTTTAGCTGTGTTTATCTTTTACCATTTCCTTTTCTGGTGAGTAACAGCTACTTTTCAATTTACAGTGGTAGTATCAGGTTTTCTTTCCAAAAATATGTACTTTGGTTTTAAAAATGAGTCAATTTATGGAAAAATGTTAAGTAAATAATAAAGGTGGTAGCAAGAAGCTTGAAGTTTGGGAAACTCGACACCAGACAATTCCAGACAAGGCCAGACCTTGATGTTCTCAATGCCCAGCAAGGCTCACCTCGATTCCCCACGAGCTCAACTCAGAGTTTGCTCCTCGAAGCTCCTGACTTTCATAAACCTTCAGCTTAGTGAAAGGCGTGCCTGGGTCACGCCTCCTGAGCGCCTTGGACCTTACCAGGGAGGGGCAGTCAGTCCCTCCTGAATGACTGAAGTGGGCTCTGCCCTGGCTGAGCCCAGGCAGGACCGGAGTCCTGACAGCCGAAAGGCCTGCGTACAACCTCCCCTGGCCAAGCGATGCCAAGGTGCCCTCCAAAATTAACGAGGAGTGAGCGGAGCAGGGTACACAATGTGGTTGTGTTTGATCCTGCGACGTGTCACTTGGAATCTCAATTTATTGCCAATAGACGACGTTGTCAGGCACTAATTTTCTCGTGGCGCTCCATCACAGGCCTCTCAACACCAGGGGAGGGGCTCAGAGGCTGGTGGGCAGGGGGGCTCGGAGGAGCCGTCGCGAGCCAGCCAGGGGTTCCTGTAACGAGGCTTTAATGAGGGGAGCGCGCCGGCCTTTGTCGAGAAACCGGAGGAGGAGGCGGCGGCTGGGTCAGGAGCTCGGCAAGGTCGCTTCCTTCCCCGGCCCCGAGAGCCCGGGAATCCGGAGAGGGTTAGCGGCGGCCACCAGGCCGGGTGCCTACTGAGGGGCTGTCCTGGGCCCGCACCACCCTCGCCCACTCCGAACTGCGAACTGCAGCAGGAAACACAACATTTCCAAGCAACAATGCAAACGCGCTCATTACCATCTTCTCAATATGCATGAAGAAAATGCACAGCGCTGGCCGAGCCCCCTCACACCGCTCTGGCCTCGGCGTCCAATAAGGCGACAAATTCATCTCCCAGGATGAATGAGGAGGGGGCGCCGGGGAGGCAGATCCACGTGGGGGAGGGGACGGATCCCGGAGAGGGAGAGAAGAAGAGAGAATATTTACGGAGAGGAGAACCTGAGAGACAGAACAAGAAATCCAAGGAGGAAATAGGAGAGGATCCAGATGGAAGTGGGGAGGAAAGAAAGAAAATTTAAAACGAGAACTGCGGATAGGGGAAAGGGACACAGTCACAGACGCAGGGACAGGAAAAAAGAGACATTAAGAAGGGGGTGAAGGAGGGAGCAGAAGGGAGAAAAGTGAACTGAAAAGTGGTCCAGGGCAAAGGCATAAAAACAGCACAGTGAGGGAGCGGAGGAAAGAGAAGAAAAGTGAATGATCTAGAAATCGAAGATAGAGGAAATGGGAAGGACAGACGGAAGGAAAGAGAAAACCAAAGGCACGGGGGAGGGGGCTGCTCAAGTCAGGTGGAAAACGGCTGATCCGGAAGAGGTAAAAGAAAAGAAAATCATTCCCGCGGAGGGCCAGGATCTTCCAGCCAGGTCACTCAGGGTGCTGCGCCTCTCGGGCCGCTGACAGACGCAGGGAAGTGAGCCGGGTCGCAGGAGGCGCAGGGGCGGAGCGGGGGACCTAAGAGCCCACCGCCCTCACGCCCCACCTTGGGCATTCCGACCCGCTCCCGGGTGCCCAGTCCAGGCCCGGGGCCCACCCTGCGCGTCGCGGCCCGCCACCGCTGTTGCACCATTCCGGCCGGCGGCCTCTCCCGCGCCGAGAGCGAAGTTGACAAAGTTTACCCCTAAGTTTCCCCGTCGCTTCTCCGGACCCAAGAAGGGCCTCCAAGTCCCCGGTGGCCGGTGGGGAGCGGCAGCACGCTCCGGAGAGCTCTGGAGGCCCCCGGTCCGCGTCTCCTGGGATGCTCGGAGTCCGGATTCCTGGCCAAATACGAATTCCACCCTGTGCGGACGCCAGGTCATGCTCTCAGGAGTCCGCCGCTGCTAATAGCGGAGAAAGAGAACGCGAAAGTGAGAGAGAGGGAGAGACAGAGAAGGAAAAAAAATATTCTCAGCTCAATTTAAGTCTCATGGAAAGGGCTTACAACTGTAATTAAATCATTAAATTCTTGTCTACGCTTCACAGAGCGGAGAGAAATTAACTTCCCACCAACCTCATTTTCTATTTGAACATGAAATAATGATTTTCTGCCCGTCTAATTACAAAGCCAACATCTGATCAAGCCAGCATCCAGAGGGGATTATCGCATGCACGAGTATTAGACCTCATTACCAGCTTGAGTGCAAAATTATTACATCTTGTAATTGGATGGTGAGATTTATATACAGATCGGCCCGGTTTCTGTAAGATTGTAATTACAAGCTTCGTTGGTTAGCTACTTATCAGAACTTTGCAGGAAAACAAAACAAATGACTGAGGAAAACGAGCATTTCATTAACCTGTAACCCGAGCGCGAGAGGGAGGGAACGGTAGGAGCGCGCGCCGCAGCGTCTGCAGGAAGCTCAGAGATCGCGGGTTGGCACCGCAGCCCAGGGACTCAGGGCCTGGGAGGGATGGATAGAAGATGGGCCGGGGCCGGGAGTCCCAGGGCTGCAGCGGCTGCCCTTGACCGGGACGCGTGAGCACCGTGAGGCTGGGTAAGGAGGGGGCAGGAAGCGGGCCTGGTGACTCAGCTCTTGTGAAGTGCGCGGCGCAGCCCACAGAGCCTGGCGGGCCGCGGACTCTGGGCACTCGTCGGGCAGCGGCTCCTGGTGCGCAACCGGCGCACGCGCGCCAAGTGCATGCGATGGACAGACACCCTCTCTGAACACTCCCTGCTCCCTGGGCAGCATTGAGAGGGCCTGCAGTGAGTCTCCAAAGCGCTTTGTGCGCTAGGAATGTTGAAAGAAGGCAAGATGATGGAGAAGCTTCTGCGTGAAGCGCGTTCGTGCGCGCGACTTTCCCAAATCTACTTCCATGCACCTGCTTTTCTTCCCTGTGCGAGCGTGTCACTCTGACCATTTAATCTGTTGGATTAAAAATCCCTGGAAAAGGTTCAGCTGCCCTCGGACCCTCGAATTCACCCCACAGCCGGGCTCCACTGGCCCAGTCGAGTTGGCGGACCAGCGCCACGTTGGACGCAGCTGCCTGGGACGCTGAGTCTCGACGTGGCGCGCAGATGGCCCGGACAGACCAGGGCTGTTCTCAGTTGGAAAGTAGGGTAGCCAGGAGGCCGCTTCTGCTCGAGGCCTGGGGAGCCTGGAGGGATCTAATATGCGAGGTTCTTGGGTCCGCGTCTGGGTCTGAAGGCTCACTCCCTGGGCTGTGGGCGTCCCCCACCCCTCAGCCAGCGTGACTGAGTCCCTAAGAGCCGCCTGGCCCTTCCCTGGCCTGTTTCTCGCCGCCCGCAGTCCGACGCAGCCAGGTCGATAGCTGGTTAATGCGGAAGGAGCATCTCCGAGGCTCATTATTGTTTTTTCTTTTCCTTCTGAAAAAAGCTGAATTAAATATCGGGAGTCTCACTCGATCACTTACAGCGTAGCCCTATTCCCCCCACCTCAGAATCTCGCTCTCGGCTCCCCCCTGGTCTGGTGCCACCACTTTGTATAAACACTATGACTTCAGGGCCGTCGAGGCTCAAGGTCCGACACCTAGGAAATATCCCGGAAAATAACGTTACTCTCAATTTTGTAATCCCAAGTTTCTTCGCGTGAAAGTTAGCCCAACATTCCCTATGCTACTCTCTGAGAGGTGTAACGGGAAACGAAATCAGGCGTCGAGGAGATATTTCAAAGTCAGGGCGGCCCCTGATGACGCCTCCTTCGGCTAGGCTCCTGAGAAGGCACCAGGCTCCCGGACACCAGGCTGAGGCGGGAGGGAAGGTGATCGGGAAACTGCTCAGATGCAGTCTGGGAGTACCCCACTTTCCCTCATTGCCGCCAAACCTGGTCCTCCTCAAACTTTCCCAAGCTTCCTCCCCGCCCCCGCCCCGCCCCCGCAGGGTTTTTGGCATTCACACCTACTAGGGCCGCGGGCCTGTGCCAAGACCCCCGGAAAGAGGTGGGAAGTGGGAGGTGGGCGGTGGGGGTGGGATCAAAACTGGGTGTCTGCCGTAGAGGTGGAAGCATCTTTCATTCCAGAGCTGGGCTCCCCAGAGCTGTGCTCCCCAGAGCTGTGATTAGAGACAGCCGGGGCCGAGACCCTCTGATCTCCTCTAATCCTGCCACTCTGGTGGAATTCGAATTCGATTCCTGGATCCATCCACGCAAGGTGACGGTTTCCGCCTCCGAGCTGGGGCTGGCCACTCCACGGCAGAGTCGCCACCCCCGTTTTGTCTCCGGGGCGTGCCCACCGCAGGCCTGACTGGCTTGTGGGTCGCCGCCGCGGCCTAAAGCTCTGAGCCCCCAGCCGCGGCAATGCTGGGAATTTCAATGCTGCTGACGACTGCACGCCCTAATCCGTGAAGGTGGGCACCCGATCCTGGGATTTCAAGTTTGATTCAGGAAATATCCCATCTTTAAACCAAAACTCTTGCCTTCCATCCCCACCGGAGGCGGTGGGAGGATCCTTGTAGAGAGAAAAGAGGTTAGCTCCGGGACCGGGAGGAAGGGGTAGGGGTCGCGCAAGGAAACATCTCTACAGACGAAAACGCCAATATAGAAACTTCTCGAAGAGCTCTCCAAAAGTTCCTAGGGCCTCCGTGGCCCGGCGCCCTGCTCCTCCCCCATTCCCAGCCGCCTGGGGCGCAGGCCTGCTTCACCGATTTGTGGCGGCTCCCCACCCTTCCAGCGCCCCCGGATTGTCACCCTTCAGCCCCTGGAGCCAGCCCGCCATTTTTAGTAAGGGATTCGCACGCGGACCCGGGGGCGGCGTTAAGTGGCTAATCTCAGGGTTTTGTCCTCCTGGGTGGGGGGCTGCCTCGCCCCCGCAGGACAGCGAAGTGGCCTCTGAAGACGATATTAGGACGCACTCCCTCGCTCCCCACCCCCACGCCGGCTGCTAGCTCCCTCCCTACGCTGCTGAAAGTGGCTGGGAGTCGAGAGGTGCGAGCTGCAAAAGGGGCTTGGGCACAGGGGGGCCCCCGGAGCCAGCCTCGGCCACGGTCCCGCGCCTCGGCCTGGGGACAGGCTTGGAGGGGCGGGAGGCGGGAGGGGCGAGCTGACCCTGCACTCACCCAGTCCCAGCGCCTCTCGCTCCCCCACCCGGCGCGGGCAGGAGGGGGCGGGCAGGGACTCGCGGCACTCCGGCTCCCGCCCCTGCCCCGCCCCGCCCTGCGCGCGGAATCCGCGGGGGTGGGCGGCCTCGCCCGTAAGGCGCCCAGGCGATTGGCGACTCGGGGAAGAGACGCGGGGAAAAGTCGAATAAGAGGGCGCGACGTCAGACCCGAGATTTGGGGAAGGGCGAGGGAGGGGGTGGAAGGGCGGGGATGGACACACAGACACGGACACACACCCCCCGCGCGGCACCCTAAGTGTCCACAACTTTTGGCTGCCTTACTTAGCCCAGGGTGGAGAGGCTGGAAAGGTTGGGGGAAGTATCGTGTGAGTAAAGAGACAGATTTAAAGAATAGAAGTAGTGAGAGAGGAAAAAGTGAAGGGAACGGACCGGAGAGCAAAAGCCATCGTGAGAAAGGGAAAGGGAAGGGGAGAGGAGAAAGGAGAGTTTCATAGCGTCCAGGGCAGTGCAGGAGCCCGAAGGAGCGGAAGCGATCCTGGGGGGAAGAGGAGTGCGGAGAGGGGAGGGGAGAGGAAGGGCGAGGAGGGGGAGTGAAAACTAGAGGAGGGAGAAGGAAGCGAGGCGCGACACTGCTGGGGAGAGGAGGGCAGTGAGGAGCGAGGCGCGGGCAGAGGCAGCTCCGGCGGCCGAGAGGAGGGAGCGCGGCGCAGAGAGGAGGGGCTTGCGCCCCGTAGAAATGTCAATCAGAGCCCGGAGCCCCGGGAATCTCCGCCAATCTGTTCGGACCTGACCTGGCTCCTCGCCGCCGCCGTCGCCGCCGCGGAGCAGATCAATAGGCGAA